CCCCCACCCCAACCACCAGAAAATGCACGTCATGGAGCAAAAATCCATCTTCCATCCATCCACCCACCCTTTCATGCGAGTCTGCCTTTAGTGAGCATCCATGGAGCGACCGCTCAGCACCAGGCGTCATTCCGGGTGCAGAACACAGTTGTGGACAGAATAAAAACAAGCTGCATCTGTGCAGAGTTATTTTCCAGAGGGAATCAAGTCAACAAACCAATGTGGGAAGGCCGCAGGGCAGCAAGGAGCTTGCTGTGTTAAGCCTGGAGGGGTGAACTATGTCAACACGTGGGATGGAAGGCTTGTGAGCCAAGGGACGACTAGGTACCGGGTGTGCGGGCATGCACTTGGTATACCCAAAGCAGAACAAGGGAGCTGATGTGGTGGGGCAGCCTGAAGCGGACTGGTGGTGGCAATAGCCAGACCGCCTGGGCCTTGCAGGCCACCGTAGGAAGTTTTAAATGAAGTGATGAGAGGCTACTGGAAGGATCAAAGCATCGAAAGAACATGATGCAATATGCAAGTCTTTAAGAGCATCTAAGCTCCTGGGGTGGGGGTGGGGTGGGGGTGGCGTGGGGGTGGCTGGAGCTGGTGAGGTGGGACTGAGAAAAGACTGGATCTGCAGCAGCCTAGATGGGCGAGTGATGACTTAGCCCAGATATGTGAGGACTTATAACTTGGGGCCATCCGTAGGAAGCAGGAAAAGAAGGCGGGGTCCAGTTGGCTTGGGTCAGGCTATTGCGGACAGTAGTTCATCAGAATAGGTCCTAGTACATCACCGTCTCAACCGACTGGGTTCAATGCACGGCCTCTAAAACCTTTCCAAATGCACTCTTGACATAGAAACAGAACTCCACTGGCTCTCAAGGTGAAGCAAATCCAAGAACCCTGGCAGCCAGGCAGGCAGCGGAGCTGGCATTGGTCCTTGGGACCAGGTGTGCAGTTCTAGAAGTCTGGAGCCTTTTGTCAAGGGCTGTAGTTATCTACATAATGGAGAAGAATGCCTGTGCCTTGCCTGAGAGGGAAATCCAGAGTATTCTGGAGTCTCCTGATTAAGTTTGAGTAGAAAAGACATTTCCAGAAGGGAGTGGATGAGAACAAACCTGCTATGAAGGGGATTTGAGATTTGTACACCTTGATATTAGCACCAAATAGTGGAAAATTATGTAGCTATCCCCTTAGGATCTGTGACCACAAGGCAGCTTTGAATGTGTTCTCTCTGGACTTGTCTGTCTGTTGGTTTGAAAACTCACAAACATCAAATGTAATTTAAAAGACTTTGGTTGTGTTTTTTTGATAACTGGGATTTTTTTTTTTTTTCTGAAATAGAGTTTCTCTGTGTAGCTTTGGAGCCTTTCCTGGATCTCACTCTTTAGCCCAGGCTGTCCTCAAACTCACAGAGATCCGCATGGCTCTGCTTCCTGGGTGCTGGGATTAAAGGCGTGCTACACACACAGCCCCAGCTAACTGGGATATTTAAAAGTAAATATTTTTATGTAGCTCTGCTTTAATCCAGACATCAAAAAATTCCCATAGATGAAGTTTAAAGGAATACCAAAAAATTCACATTAGAAATTAAAAAGACACACAAAGAAATAAATACTGTCAGTGATTGTCAAAACAAACAAACAAACAAACAAACATCAAGAAACAAACAAACAAAAAAAATAAAACCCAGAAATGACTCTCTGGTGATTTCAGATATTAGAATGCCCTTGCATGGAATAAAATCATTTATTATATTTAAATATGTAAAAGAGGAGCTTAGAACATGAGCAGGAACAGAAGGCCCTAAGACATAGTCACACAGGTTTGAGAAATGACCAAGGAGGCCCTGAAATAATAACCAAAACAGTTATATTCAGGAGTTAATATTCAGTGGGCACAACCAACACCAGATTAGATGCGGTGGAAGAGAATTAGTCACTTTAAAGACAGGTGCAAGCACACACACACACACACACACACACACACACACACACACACCCCTCCAGAATGTAGTGCTGAGAGATAAAATGATATGAATTATGAAAGAAGTTAATAGTCACAGGGTAAAATGTAGAATTTCCTTCACACTCACATTGGACTCCCCATAGGAAGAATGCATAAAGACAGTTTTATAATTCCCCAGGATTACTCGAAATTATTTTTCAAATTTAGAAAATCTAATAATCCAAAGGAAAAGAGGAGAAAGACACACACACACACTCACAGTAGGGGAGAAAACATTAAAAACAGTGAGAAAGAAAAGGCACATGCCCTGTAACAAATGGCCAGCTGATGACTTGTTAGCAGTCCTAATGCAAACATGAAGACAGCAGAAGACATATTTATAATGTGCTAAGAACAAGTGTGTGGACCAAGACTAGCAAACTTCTCGGAAGGACGAAACTCCCAGCCTGCTACCTCTGCGGTGTGTGCTCGCTCTCTCAGTACAGAAAAACGCTAGCGTGTGCATTCGGGGAGAAAAGGAACGAGAGAGTAAAGACCATGCTCAATGTATAGACCAAATAAAATAGAACTTTATGAAGTAATGATAAAAAAAAATATCCATTTTTGTCTATGTACCTGTGTGTATGGAGTGTCAGATGGGCTAAAACCAACATTTCGATTGATTGACAGCAGCAGACAGGGAGGGAGGGATTGGAACCCAGGCCTGCTAAGACTAGAGTGAAGATGTTGGCTAGCTCTGGGTTTCAGTCCATAGCCCTGGTAACCATTAGGAGAAACTAGACAGAGCAGGAAACTCCCAAGCAAGCAACACAAGAAAGGAAAAGAAAAAGACAATCATCTTAATTTTCACAGAGACAAGAAGGTGGGTCGGGAGGCATAGGGAGAGGATAAATGGATCAGCTGGAATCCAAGTGAGAACAGAGGAACAATGAAGCCACATACATGTTAGTCATAGTACATAAACATACGCCCTCCAAACACAAGCTAAGGAGCTTAGCCATCAAGTGGACCTTTACAAAGTCTGCCATTAAAACGAAAGGTTGAACTGCAAAAGGATGCTGGCCAAAGATAATGCTACACTGGGAGACTCTAACTAAAGTAAGATGGAGCCTTTCCAACAAAATCGTATATAGGCAAAGTGTCTATAGGGTTAGAAAAAGCTGATTTTAATGTAAAGAAAGAAAGAAAAGAAAAGAAAGGAAGGGAGGGAGGGAGGGAGGGAAGGAAGGAAGAAAGAAAGAGAAAGAAAGAAAGAAAGAAAGAAAGAAAGAAAGGAAGGAAGGAAGGAAG